AGGTGAGGGCTGTGACTGTACCCCAGTGCCAGTCCCCACCGCTAAAGTTCCTCTACCTGCTGTCTCCTATGAGGCTCTTCATGGTGCTGGCGAAGAGCGCCCCACGCAGCTCGGTGGGGCTCAGGCTTCGGCCCAGCCCCCTCTCCTCTGCCCTCACCATGTTGTCGAACTGGTCTCCGAACAGAGGGATTCCCAGCACGGGCACGGCGTGGAACACCGCCTGCATCAGGCTGTTCTGACCCCCGTGCGTCACCAGCAGACGAGCCTTGGGGTGCCCTGGGGACACAGGGGGAACAGCGGCTAGCGCCGGCCCAGTGAGCGAACCCGGGACCGACCCGTGGAAGGCGAGACAGCATGATGGCCAAGAAAATTTGATCTGCTTAAATGAAGTTTAGCTGTCTTGGCTGCCTCGATTGCTGCTATTAGGGCCAAACTCTGACCCGTGAGGAAAACAGAGCTGCTTTTACTGACACTACAATGATTTATATAATCCAGTCAGCACTAGGAATTTAAAATCCTCCAACATGTTGTGGAGTTCAAAAGAAAAATCTAGGAAGATGGGGAAGAGTCTATATCACATTTCAGGGTTTGATTTTGTATTGTATAGGAGGCGTTGTCCTTCAGAAAAAACATGAATCTGGAGCTCCCCCATCCTCCGCTCCTGGTGGAAAGTGAAACACTTCTTCATGAGGCCTAGCTTTCTTCATTTGACACTGGGAATGAAATGAAATTGTTTATTACTGTCCATAGAAAGATATTGTTTATTTTTTGTCAGAGATTTTTCAAGATAACTGTATCACCGTTTCACCTGTGACTTGGCTTTCAGGGATGAACACAAAAGTGTTCACATTTAGAGAAAGACCGGCAAGTCTTGTCAGACACCAGAAAGTCGAGACACGCCAGCGCCCCTGGTACAACTGCACACCGTGATGACGTTGTGCCGGCATTCCTGATTAGCTCTTCACTATGACAGATCTTTGCGAAAGGTCACATTCACTGTGTGTGTGGCCCTGACACTGGTGTCATGCAGGCTGGCCTTACCCAGCAGGTCGTTCTGGGGCAGCCACTCCACCAGCTTGATGTTGGCCGCAGGCTGGATGCGCTGCGGCCAGCGGGAGGGGTTGAACCTCCATATCACGCCCTGAGGGACCTCGGCGAAGCCCGCATTCATCTCCTGCACAAGCTGCTCCTGGGGAACAGTCGACAGCATGGAGCCCAGTGTCACCACGATGAACCCAGCCTCCTGAAACCTGGAGATGAAGTCTTCTAGGTCCTACATTCAACCGAAAGAGCAGAGCAGCAGTTCAGTCAGGGTTCTGCGTTAGTAATGCACAAAGGGGGCTCTGGAGTGGATCAACTGGTTGAAACATTGTTGAAGGACAGTCTTGTTCCCCTTGACCAGAGACTGGTGGTTCACCTCTTGGCTGTGTTGGAACCTGTTTGTGAAAGACAGCTTCCAGGGTCAGTGTACAACGGCAGTTGGTCAAGTGCTCTTGGGCATCTCGTGTCTCTCATGTGACGGTGCTGCCCTGTGGCCAACCGGACACCTGTGGGTCAGCAATGCTCTCAGTGTGAGTTGATTGAAGTTCTTGTTCTTGTGTGGCACCTTGATTGTGGTCTGTGTTCTACTCTTGTAGTGTGAAAAGACCTGGTTGTGTACAGTTTGGAGGGCTTGCCTATGCTGACTTTATATCTTCTCCTTCAAGTATTGTTAAGGGTGTTAAAAAAGAAGGTGTATTTAGTAAACTGAGTTTGTCATAAATACTTCTGAAGTAGCCATGATTTGTGTGGGTAAAAAGAGAATTCCATGCCTGCTGCATTGCTTTAAAAAATGCAAACAAAAAGTAGTCTGCAAACAAAATAAGCTATCCATTACAGCAGATTATTTCTGCCTCTGTGTAAAAGCAAGGTTCTGTCCTGTAAAAAGAGGAAAAGCAATGTTCAAGGCAGTAGAGCTTGGAAGCAGTACCTGAGAAACAGGTTTGGGAGCCTTCGCCAGCAGCCCTCCCACACAGACAGTGTTGGGCATCAGCGGCTGGGGAATCTCCAGAGAGAAGTCGGTGTTGAAGGCCCACAGCTCGGCCTTCCTGTAGAGCTCCGGGAGGGAGGTCTGGGCTGGGTTGAAGTGGCGCTCGATGACCTGCAGGAACGGGGCCTGGGTGAACCTCTCTGCCGCCAGGGAACCCAGGAACAGCAGGACGTTGGTCACTCTGTCCCAGAAGCCCATGTGGTGTGACAGCTGTGAGCGGTACACGGGGACGTAGGACAGGGGTCTGGGGAGGCCATTTGAAGGGAAGCTCAGGGTTCCAGGGAAAAAGGCAACGTACGGCACGCCTAGCCACTCCGCCACCAGGAAGGAGCAGGGGTTGAAAGCGTCCAGCAGCACAATGTCGTAGGACTCCTGCTTCAGGAACCCCATCAGCTCCGAGTCCGCCAGAATGTTATCACACTGGTAGGCAAGGTGGCCGAGGAATTTCAGGTAAATGCTGAAGCTGTCCCTGGGGAGGAACAAGGAAAAATAAGGACGGCATACAGTTCAAATGTGCTGGGAACAGGAGGATTGATTCAACCAAACTTACCCCTTTCACACAGGCACACCACTGTTACACAAGCAAGCGTACTGAAGCAGAATTCTTCACCATGGTTTAATACTTTACTGGGCTAAAGTCTCTCTGGAGCTAAAATAATGATTAAACAAGATACACTTATGCTCTTTGTTTCTCCTCTCCTGCAAAACCCTGTCTTCCCCTTTGCCCCAGTCAAGACTGTAGACAAGTTACTGCACCTTAGGGGGTATCAGGATTGTATCCTGGACCAGATTTATATACTGCAGGATATATGTTTTAGCTGGTCTATTCCAAAGATGTATAGTGCAGGAGCAATGAAATTAGGAGCACATACAAATGAGTTACACATTTCCAGGGATAAAAACACCAGACAATGACCGGTTAAACATAGCAGTTTACCATGTCCTACCATTCACACAACAGTCCTGAACTGCAACCGTGGTCTCACTGAGTTGTAGAAGCTCCCTCTGGTAGGCACGGTCACTGACCATGGGAGTGAGTTACTGCTGTCCCAGGATGCACTGCTTGACAATTCTAACTTATGTCATGAACTCCATAGCATCAATATTTATTAAATTAAGTATTATTGAATGCTTAATGCTAATGTCTTTGTGTAACTTACACATTCAAAATGTCTGGATTCTGTATATTTAACTCACAGATTAGTGCTCAATGTTTAAAAGCTCATTAGAAAAATCAGATTTCCTAATATTAATAAATACACAGTTGAACAGGTTCGAAGTAAATAGAGTGTTCGTCAGAGTTCAAGACACAGCCACATGCTACATGGAAGCAAGTAAAATGCAATTCAGACCTGCCCTGAAGAAACTCCTTCTGTTGTTCCAAAAACCACTCATTGTATTCTTTGATGTAGTCTTCACTTGCAGACCATGATGTAATCTGGTAACTGTCAGGGCGCCCCTCGTAGTTCAACCCTGTAGTGTTGAAATTTGGAAACAAGGAAAGACAAAATTCAGTTATCTGGCCTGGGAACTGTTTTTGTGTCAACCTTGTCTTGTTCCTTCTCCCAAATTGAAAAGAGGGACGACGCTCAGGGAGCTCGAAGAGGGCATTATCTACGACTTTGTGCATAATGGTCTGTTTTTCCCATTTTTCTCAGAAACAACAGCAAACCTTTCTGCGGCTTTCAAAAATAAATAGCTAACAGATTTGGTGTCCTTGAATAAGCTGGATAAGTGGCTTGCTCCAAGGCATGTCAGCTCGAGAGTTCTAGTGAAACGGACTCTGCGGTCCATCAAAATGTCATAAATCAGACTTGCACACTCTGGCATGTTCAGATCTGATGGCAATAAAACTCAGAGAACTGCACAAACATCAGCAGTGAAACACTTTTGTATGAGGATCTGGATAGCAGTATCACTTCCCAGAAAATTATAGCAAACTGCATGCTGTTACAATAGCTCAAAGGTGTCTTTGCTCTCTTGCTTGGTTTTCATAGGGCACTTAAGCTAATTGCCCTCTCTTAGGAAGGGGGCCCTGTATTTGCAGATTTGTGGCGAGGCTGCTACATGCATGTCAGAAGTTGCTGGAAAACAATGGGAAGAGCTGGACATCTGCCAAAAGGTTTCAAGTTACTGTAATTCAAGACACATGTGTTTTCTCTTCGGTGGGCCGAGGAACAGGAACGAGTCTCCGGGACGGAGAAGCACTGGCCTCTTACCTCTAATGACCGGAGTGCCCGTCTGAAGCAGCATGCGGACCTCGTGCCCACTCTCGTGAAACGTGTGTGAGATCTCATCCAGCAGCATGTAATGGCTGCCCCCTGGAAGACACACCAAGAATGACATGGCTGAATCTGTGACATGAGAATGGCACCTGTTGTGATCCAACCTCTGAGTCCTGGCGACGCTGTGTGACTGCAGTTTACCTTTCCCTCCCCATCTCTTAATGAGCTGAATCAGCATACTGGCTTAATGGGAGTGGTTTAACAGCCCCTCCCAGGTCTTCAGGTGCAGATGCTTCGGAGAGATCTAGAAAACCCGCAGGCACAGAGGCCTCCAGGACCAGAACTGGACACCCCTAGTGCAGGCTAATGGCTCCCCTTGGACACAGCCCAGACTAGCTCTGAGCAATAATGATTTACACACACGCAGGTACTCTCACTGCAGATTAAATAAAGGAAGAAACAAATGAACAAATCGGAACCAAAGGTCAGGCCAGGAAATAAGAGCTGGGGAGCTCTCGATCTGTCAGTTTACCTGTGATACCAGTCACCCCATTTTTGATCGAGGATCCCCATCAAGGTTCAGTGTGGAGAGGAGTATACAGTATAAAATGCTCCTTTAACAGGAGTGAATACAAATTCTCACATCCTCTGAAAAAAAAA